GGGGTTCTGGCCTCCCCCACACGGGGTTCTGGCCTCCCTCCACGCGTGTTCTGGCCTCCTTCCACACGGGGTTCTGGCCTCCCCCCACACGGGGTTCTGGCCTCCCTCCACGTGTGTTCTGGCTTCCCTCCACACGGGGTTCTGGCCTCCCCCCACACGGGGTTCTGGCCTCCCCCACACGGGGTTCTGGCCTCCCTCCACGTGTGTTCTGGCCTCCTTCCACACAGGGTTCTGGCCTCCCCCCACACGGGGTTCTGGCCTCCCTCCCCGTGTGTTCTGGCCTCCCCCTACACGGGGTTCTGGCCTCCCTCCACGTGTGTTCTGGCCTCCCTCCACGTGTGTTCTGGCCTCCCTCCACACGGGGTTCTGGCCTCCCCCCACACGGGGTTCTGGCCTCCCCCACACGGGGTTCTGGCCTCCCTCCACGCGNCTCCCCCCACACGGGGTTCTGGCCTCCCCCACACGGGGTTCTGGCCTCCCTCCACGCGTGTTCTGGCCTCCCTCCACACGGGGTTCTGGCCTCCCTCCACGTACATTCTGAGCGGCTATGCCCCTCAACCAGGGGCGGCTGTCACGGGGAGTGCTTCTCTGCACCCCGCCAGGGTTGAATGATCTCAGGAGCACCTTCCTGGGCACAGGATGGACACACCCGCCCTCTGGAGGGCATGACACCAATAAAGGTGCGGGGTTCTGGGGCTTTCCCTCCTCTGCGGGACAGTGGGTGCCGAGCTGACGCAGGGTGTGCTGGGCCCCTGGTCTCACGCCCTTGGAGGCTCTGTCTGGAGGACCCAGAGCACTGCTGAGTTTCCCTCTCACTGGCCACACGGTGAACTGTGACACACACACCCCCCGTCAAGACTGAGGACAGCCACCTGCGGCCACCCAGCCAGGCCAGGAGACGCCGTCACCGTGGGAGACCTCACTGCAGCAGGGAGCTGGCTTCTCCAGGACACGCGGGACTGTTCCCAGGACTGTGGACCTTGCAGCAGCTCCTCATATGCACCACGGTGCACGCTGGGTCCCCGCCCCCGCCCTGGCCGGCCTGGCCCTCCTGCAGGTTCACTTACCAGCCTTGCCCAGGGTGCCCGGTCCTTCCGGCGGCCTGCTCGCCCTTGCCTGCCCGTGCACTCCCTCCGTGCTGCTGGGCAGTCTCAGCAGCTAAAGAGAGGCCGAAAATAACCCGGCACAAGTGCTGCCATTCCCACAACAGGTGTGTTACTAAGTTAGACCGCACACGTGTCCCCAGCTGAGGTTTGGGGGCACACGCTAGCACCCCACAGCTCCTCAGGTCCTTGCTGGGAGGGTTAGATGGGGCAGAGGCACCCTAAGGCAGCCCCTCCCGCCACCCCTTCTCTTGGCTGTGGGGGCTCCGGGACAGGCTGTCCTGGAGCTGGGATTCACCCTCATCATCATCCGTAAGTTCACACCGCGGAGAGAGCAGCCACGGTCGGGGGTCCGCCCACCAGGCACCAGAGTACGGCCAGGCCCGTCACAGAGTAACGCCTGCGGCAAAGACGGCCCCGTGTGGCAGAAACAGGGCACGCTGATCGGCCGTCCTTACAGCTGGAGCAGCGCGGCGGCCACAGCTGGGCCGTGCTGCCAGCCTGGCTGGTGGCGATGGACCGAAGTCTGTCTCACAGGCTCAAGTGCGGCTGCACCTACTGGGTGACCAAAACTCCAAACACCACCTGGTAAGAGCCCGTGCTCATGGAACACCTGCATGGGCCACGCGCGTGGACGGAAACATCTGCTGGTGACTCAAGTCTGCTGAGTGCCCAGCGTGTGCCTGGCCCCACCCTCTCACGGCTCCTGGAGATCACCCTTGGCACGGGGTGCCATGATTACTTCCCTTTTACAGGTGGGGAAACTGAGGCACAGGGTGGTACCTGTCCAAGGTCACCCTGGCAGGAAATCACAGCTCGCAGCTGGGACTCTGGGTAGGTGGGGTCTGCCCTAGCAATGGCTGAGCTATACGCTGGCGAGAAACTGTGCCCCATCCTTCCCCTAGACACTGGCAGTCAGCCTCAGGTGCCATGTTTTGCTGCTGGGGAAGGAAGCTCAGAGAGGCTCTGCTCCTGCCTAAGCCCTGCAGCTTGGAGCAGCAGGGTCTGTGGGACGTGGGGACGCCGGTGTCTCTGCCCTCCCACGTCCTCTTCTCCCTAAGGAGGCAGGGCCAACAGGGCAGAGGCAACACTGTGGGCGCTGAGGCCGTGGGAGGAGAGCCGTGGCCCCCCAGGGCGGCCGTGCTGGGGCAGCAGAGGGTGGGAGGCCTGTGGTTTTCGTTATTTTACTTACAGAGACAGACCATGGACCATTTTAAGCAGCCGTGTAAACGGCCTTGGGGCAGCGCTGCAGGCCCGTCCTCTCGATCTGTAAGCAAAATAAGAAGAACACGCCGTCAGGAGGGGCGTGGGCAGGGGACCCCGCCCTGCAGGGGACCCGCAGCCCCGCTCTTCCTACTTCTCAGAGGGTATCAGGGATAGGGGTCTGTCGCCGCCTGGGGCCAGGCCACTCCCCTCTCCAGGCCTCAGTTTCCTTCTCTGAGAGTGGGTGATCTCTAAGGGCCATTTTTGGCAGGACTGTTCCAGAATCTACAAGAACCTTGGCTTCTCTGTCGGCAGGGGTGGGGCCCTCGTTCTCCACGCCCTCCTTCCACGCGGCGCCTACAACCCCATCATCACCATCCTCAGGGGCCTGGGCCAAAGCTGCATGTTCTAAAAGTGACCTGAGGCTCAGCTTGGAGTCTCTCAAAGCCCAGGGTCAGCGCTGAAAGGGGAAGCAATGAACAGGAAGAAAGACTCCGCCGGGCATGGCGGCTCACGCCTCCAATCCCAACACTTCGGGAGGCCGAGGCGGGAGGATCATTTCAGCCCAGGAGTTCAAGACCAGCCTGGACAACGTAGGGAGACCCCATCTCTATTACATCAAAAAAGAAAGAAAGATTTAATCTTTCTGAGCTGAAGTTAGTGGTAAAGGCCACAGGAAGACAGGCTATGGCTCTGTAAACGCAGGCAGTGAGCTCTCTGTCATGGGGGTAATCAAGCGCAGGATAAAGACTTAGCCCTTTGAGGGTCCACCCAGCTTTAGAGGAGCTTGGTCTGGGTCTCTGCTGCCTATCTGCCTTCCCTTCGCCCCTTGACCCCACAGCTGCACCACGGCTTCAACTCCAAGATGAATCTGTGCTCTAGGCAGTCACAGGAAGAAAAACTTCAGGCCTCAAGCCGCCGTTCAGGGCCAGTCTCCCATTGGCTCAGAGGCCAGTCCCCAGGGAGGCTCCGGAGCCTCCAGTCAGGGTTCTGTGGCTGAGCTATGGCCCCTCCAGGGCAGCCATCAGCCAGGGCCAGGGGCACAGCCAACCACCAGGCTATCAGGGACTTGTTTGGAGTAGGATGAACCTGAGGCTGCCTCGGGGTGCTCAGAGCCTCAGACAGGTGCTCCTGCCAACCCGGTGGGACCGAAGCATCAGCTCAGAGGAGAAAAAGCATCGCGTATCTCTTCTATAACCTTCATGCTCCTAAACGTAGCTGGGACCTCACCCCAGAAACGTGGTCCGTGGCAGGCTGAGAATGGAGGGGGCGGAAAGGACCCCCAGCCCCGGGCAGGCCAGCTGCCCTCACATCTGTTCACAGGTTTCCAGAAGCAGAGCCTGTGGCCTCTGCTGGCCCCACCCCACCCCCAGCCAGGAGCATCGGGTCACCAGATGAGCACCTTTGAAGCATGGGCTGTTGGTACACGGGGAAGAGCAGATGGGGAGACGCTCCCCTGAGGGTCCGGGGCCAGGCTCCGCTCGCAGCATTTGTCCCTGACACGGGCTCTGAGGATGTTTGTGGAGTGGGCGTTTTAGGCACTGCACCCATGGCTGCGTCTCCCGTGGTCCCCCCTGAGTGTTTCCTCCCCTAGCGAACCTCTTACAAGAAACTGCAGCCAGCTCAGCAGAGCTGGGACCGCACGCTGGGCCAGCCGCTCTCCAGGACCTGCACGATTGTGACTGCAGCATCCCGACAGGGCCAGGCAGGAATACAGGCTCCATCACACATGGACGCCCCGCGGGTGCAGGGAGTGGGCTTGAGGCTGTTTGGCTCCCACTGAGTGCTGGGCACGTTTCTGGATGTACCTGCCTACACGCAGCACACCCGCGAGCACCCCATTGGCGGGTCACACCATTCCCCGTCAAGTCAGAAGGCTGGCTTGGAGCCAGCATCCTACAAACAGGGGCCCTCAATCTGCTACTGGACCCGCCAGCCAACGCTCTTTCCAGAGGGAGAGAGCTGATGCCCAAAGCCCCGTGGAGGAGCAGGCCTCCCGGCCGCAGGGCAGAGCGGGGGGAGCAGGTCTGGCCCATGGCCGCCTGGTGCTCTGGGGACAGTCGTGACATAAAGGGACAGACGAAGCAGCTCCTCCTCGCCGGTGGGGACCCGGGGCCAGCAGGACAAAAGTCTGAGGCTCCTCCCCAGAGAGGGGCTCCGTGCCTTAGCCTCCTGTCCACTGAGGCTAAGTCTCCAGCCCTGGAGATGCTAACACACGCTCCTGAGCCCCGGCCTCCAGCGGCAGAGACGCTGCCCACCCACCTGCCCAGCGACTGGCCAAGTGACTGGGAACTGACGTCTGCCTTTAAAGCCAAGGCTGCGGCGGTGACTGTGACGAGAGCTGGCCGCTCCCTCCCCATAGCGCCCCGCGGCCCACCCTCGGTGGCTCTGCGCACCAAGCCTGGCCAACCCCTTGCCCAGGGCCTGAGAGCGTTCCAAGGCCCCCACCCTGGCCCCCGTGCTCAGCCGGACTGCAGAGCCCCTGGGATCTGAGCTCCCAGCCGTGGGTCCTGTGCACAGGTGAGCTGCTGTGTGACCCTGGGAGAGCCCCTGGCCCCGTCCGAGCCCCACGTTCCCTCTGGATGGAGCCTGGCATCCCGGGGCCTGCCAAGCAAGGCAGAAAGCCTGAGGCACAGTGGCCGGCCCTGGTGCAAGGCCTGTATGGACTCACCTGGCCCCACCACAGCCCCGGGAGGCCCTGCGCTGCAGACGAGGAAGCCGGGGTCCCGAGAGGCCGAGGCGTGGGCCAGGGGCTGCACAGCGGGAAGCAGGGAAGCTGGGATTTGAACTGCAAAGCTTGGGCTCTGGGCCACGCCTCATGAGCTCCTCACGCTCAGGGCTTACAGCAGGTGCTCAGCGGCTCAGGGCAGGAAGCTCAGGATTTCAAACGACACGAGGGGCTCCCCTGAAATACCTGGCCCTCGGCCATCGGCTGGGGGCTACTCACGTGTGTGTGGCGTGAAGGAGGGGGGACGTGTGGCTCCCTGGGATGCAGCAGGCGGTGGGGGCGGCATGCTGGGGGGTGTGGACCGAGGCTGTGTCTTCACCTCCGCTGGGGAGTCCGGCATCGCTGAGGCCTTAGCCTTCCTGTCCACTGGGGCTGTGACCGAAAGAGAGAGTCGATGAAGCCGGCTAAGTGCAGAGGCCCGTGCCCGCAGCCCCACGGGTTCCCTGCCAAGGCCCCACCGAGTGTCTGCAGGCCCAGGTGGGCTCCCAGCAGGAGCAGCCTGCCCAGGTGCCCTGACAGGCGGCAGATGCCCCACCTGCAGGTGATCGTGGGGCAGAGCCAGGCTGGACAACCGGCTGGGTCAGCTCACTGCAGGTGGCCGCCAGACTGGGGCCGGGGCCCTCAGTGTGTGGCAGGCCTGGGAAAGCCGCGCCCCACCCCAGGCTTGAGGTTTCTGCAGAGCAGGGAGCGGGCAGTGCCCGAGGCAGCAGTGCCACGCTCCCACCTCCATGCGCACCCCGGGGGGTGTTCAGCTTGGCCTCAGCCTCTCCCCCAGTTCTGATTCAGCTGCAGGTCAGGCTGGGATGCAGAATCTGCATTTCCCACATGTTCCCAGGTGGGGCTGCTGCTGCTCCGGCCCCAGAAGCCACAGTTCTAAGAGTCTCTGCCACCTTCAGGTGCTAGAAGGCTCCCCTGGGAAGGGAATGCCTGCCCAGGCAGAGCCCAGCATGCGGGCCATCTCAGGCGGCAGAACCTCTATTTTAACTGCCTTCCGCCCGGGTGATGGGCAGGACAGCTGAGACGGAGGAGGCGGCATTGATTTCAGGATGGTGAAGCCCGGCCTCTCCGAGTGTGGCCCGCCCGCATGTGGTGGTTCCGGGACAGTCGATGCAGCAGAACGCACAGCTGAACAGCATTCCCCGTGGCCCGAGGCTCCCAGGGCTCTGAGAAGCTTGGCCCAGGGCCAGCTGTGCGGGAGAGGGCCGGAAAATGCTGAAGGCGCTGGTGGGCTGGGACTGGTGGACACTGAACTCCCTGAGCCACCCAGAGCGCAGGACCTGTGGACACAGCTTCCGGGTTAACCCCAGGGCCTGCAGCACAGACCTGCCCCAGACACCCAGAGGCTGAGCCAGCAGCCTGACGGTGGCCGTTTTCCCAGGAGGTAGGGGCATAAGCCTTGGGATCCCCAATTCATCTAAGTCAAAGTCAGCCAGTACCAAGGCTAACTGGAAAGGCCTGGGACCCCCCGCTGAGGCTTCGGGGCCTCAGCGGCTGAGACCAACAAGGTGGGCAGTCTCTACCTGCTCTCACCTGCACGACCCCGCACGCTCCCCCTGCTGCTCACACCCGCACGGCCCCACACACTTTCCCTGCTCACACCCGCACGGCCCCACATACTTCCCCTGCTCACACCCGCACGGCCCCACACACTTCTTCTGCTCACACCCGCACGTCCCCGCACGCTCCCCCTGCTGCTCACACCCGCACGGCCCCGCACGCTCCCCCTGCTGCTCACACC